CAGAGGTCTTGCAATCTTACTGGACACTGCCAGGCCCAACGTGGGAGGTACAAGTTAAGCAGTGCACAGAAATTAGAGATGAGCAGACTAGAGATCTACAGAAGAATGTAAATCAAATGGGGGAGTGGACAATGAGAGAGCAGGTCTGCCACCTGTCCCTGCCCCAGGGAGTGACGGTGAAGTGCTGGGTCAGTATCGGGACTGGCGCTGTTTAACATCTTTGTCGGCGACATGGACAGTGGGATTGAGTGCACCCTCAGCAAGTTTGCCAACAACACCAGGCTGTGTGGTGCAGTCAACAAGCTGGAGGGAAGGGATGCCATCCAGAGGGACCTTGACAGGCTGGAGAGGTGGGCCCGTGCGAACCTCATGAAGTTCAATAAGGCCAAGCGCAAGGTCCTGCACATGGGTCATGGCAATCCCAAGCACAAATGCAGGCTGGGCAGAGAATGGATTGAGAGCAGCCCTGAGGAGAAGCACTTGGGGGTGTTGGTTGATGAGAAGCTCAACATGACCAGCAATGTGCACTCTCAGACCAGAAAGTCAACCATACCCTGGGCTGCATCAAAAGAAACATGGCCAGCAGGTCAAGGGAGGTGATTCTCCCCCTCTACTCTGCTCTCATGAGACCCCACCTGGAGCACTGTGTCCAGCCTCAGGGCCTCCAACATAAGAAGGACATGGACCTGTTGGAACGAGTCCAGAGAAGGGCCATGAAGATGATCAGAGGGCTGGAGCACCTCTCCTATGAGGACAGGCTGAGAGAGTTGGGGTTGTTCAGCCTAGAGAAGAGAAGGCTCTGGGGAGACCTCCAGTACCTGAAGGGGGCCTACAAGAAAGTTGGAGAGGGACTTTTTGCAAGGGCACATAGGGATAGCACAAGAGGTAATGGCTTTAAACTGAAAGAGGGTAGATTTAGATTAGATATAGGGAAGAAATTCTTCACTATGAGGGCGGTGAGGCACTGGAAGAGGTTGCCCAGAGACATTTTGGATGCCTCCTCCCTGGAAGTGTTCAAGGCCAGGCTGGATGGGGCTTTGAGCAACCTGATCTAGTGGAAGGTGTCCCTGCCTATGGCAGAAGAGTTGGAACCAGATGATCTTTAAGGTCCCTTCCAACCCAAACCATTCTATGATTCTATGAACTTTCTCCTGTTGTAGGGACAGAGCAAAGCAGGCTAACAGTAAAAGTCTGAGAAGTACCTGGTGCTCTCCTGATGGGGTATTACCCATCTGTGTACAACATGAAATGAATGGGAACATATCTAAGAACTTAAGTCCTGCAGAGCATTCCTGGCCAGATACAAAGGATCAATGTGAAGACTCAATGTTCGAGCTCCCTCCTGCAAGAAGCACATGGCAGAAAAACAGTCTGTGGATCTAGAACACAGAGTGCTATAATAAGTAAAATCTTTTAATTTTTCCTTTCTCAAACTGAAAGAAAATGATTGATCAGGGAGATGGCAGAGCTTTCTGTAGTATTTAACATCTTTAAGTGCCACTAAAAATGACAACTGTGTTTGAAAATTCCAACCTTTGGTAGTTTGGACCTGCATTTTTTTAAAGAAATTGCATAGAAAAGATAACTTATTTCTTTAATCCATGTGTAACAGTATAATTTAGTGAATCATAGAATCATAGAATCGTTAAGGTTGGAAAAGACCCTTAAGATCATCAAGTCCAACCGTTAACCCAGCACTGCCAAGTCCACTGTTAAACCATGTCCTCAAGCACCACGTGTACCCGTCTTTTAAATATCTCCAGGGATGGGGACTCAATCACTTCCCTGGGCAGCCTGGTCCAGTGCCTGACAGCCCTTTTGGTGAAGAAGTTTTTCCTAATATCCAACCTAAACTTCCCCTGGCACAGCTTAAGGCCGTTTCCTCTCATCCTACCACTTGTTACTTGGGAGAAGAGACCGACCCCCACCTGGCTACAACCTCCTTTCAGGCATTTGTAGAGAGCAATAAGGTCTCCCCTCAGCCTCCTCTTCTCCAAACTAAACAACCCCAGCTCCCTCAGCCACTCCTCATAGGACTTGTGCTCCAGACCCTTCACCAGCTTTGTTGCCCTCCTCTGGACACGCTCCAGCACCTCCATGTCCTTCTTGGAGTGAGGGGCCCAAAACTGAACACAGTACTCGAGGTGTGGCCTCACCAGTGCCAAGTACAGGGGCACTCTCACCTCCCTGGTCCTGCTGGCCACACTATTCCTGATACAAGCCAGGATGCCATTGGCCCTCTTGGCCACCTGAGCACACTGCTGGCTCATGTTCAGGCGGCACTTGTTCCAGCAAACACTTGTTCCAGCAAACAGCTGACCTCTGATAGCAGATATCATGAGTTAACTGAGGCTGATTTTCTTAGACAAACTTCTTTAGGTTTAATGTGTCTGACATCTTATTTATTACAGTAAGACAAATTCGATCCCTTGTGTTCTGTCTCAGTGATATGTGCTGAGGCAACAGTTTCCATTTCTTACTGATGTGAGAACAGCAATGGATTGCTGATATGCTATCACAAATGCAGCCTCATACATCAGGTTATTTACAGGTTTTTTTATGGTACTTTATTGTGCAACAAACTTCCTGCTGCTCTGATGTCGGTATGTACAATAGAAAGGAGAGGCGTATTTAGTACAGAGGACACTGGGTCTTTAGCAGCTGCAAATCAAAGGTGCCTGTTATCAAACCTGATGACACAGGTCCTCTTATAACTCAAAGAACATTTACTGGAAGTGTCAGAAATGCACCAGGAAGCTGGCATTGGTCTGGCAAGAACTCTGACAGCCATGTTTGTGTTAAAGAACCATGCTAGCAGATTTAAATGTTGTGCATAAATTTAACCACAGTGCATTTAGTCCTCCTCTGTTCTTGAATCTCCTTAATGTCATCCGTAAATTTTCTATTCATGGTGTCGGAAACCAGCTCAGGCTGGATGTTCTGGAGATCATCTAGTCCATCCCCTTGCTCAAAGCAGGGTCAGAGAAAGCAGCACTGTGTCCAGCCGGTTTTGAATATCTTGAAGAAGGGAGGAATCTATAACCTTGCTGGGCAACCTATTCCACTGCTTGACCTCCCTCACAGTGAAATTCTCTTTCCTTATGTTTAGATGGAATTTACTGTACTTCAATTTATGCCCATTGCTTCTCATCCTGCCACTAGGCACCACTGAGAAGAGTCTGGCTCCGTTTTTACTGCATCCCATCAGGTATTTGTACACATTGATGAGATCCTCCTGAGCCTTTTCTTCTCTGGGCCTCTCCTCATATGAGAGATGCTCTAGTCCCTTAATCACCTTAGAGGCCTTTTCCTAAACTTGCTCCAGTGTGTCCATGTCTCTCTTGTACTGGGGAGCCCAGAACTGGAACCTGCATCCCAGGTGTGTCTCACAAGTGCTGAGTAGAGGGGGAGGATCGCCTCCCTTGCCCTGCTGCCACGCTCCTCTGAATGCAGCACCAGGATGCCACTGGCCATCTTTGCTGCAAGGGCACATTGTTGGCTCATGGTCAATCCGTTCACCAGGACCCCCAGGTCCTTTTCTTCAAAACTGCTTTCCAGCTGTTTGGGCTCCTTGGTCTGTACAAAGGTCTTATTTTTCAAGAATTTAGAGGCAGGATTATGACCCCATAGCCCCTTCCCAATGACAGTGTGTGATCACTCCACTGAGCACATGGTATTGTTTTTGCTTTTGTCAGGAAGTCAGGAACAGTAGAGCTGTGAATAGCAATGTTCAGGCTTACATTTCTTTATTAACATACGACTACAATCAGTTGTATTTACCATTGTCCTCCAGTTTGTTTGCTCTTCTCAGCGACTGCTTTGACAGCTTCTGATTCTGTTTCTGGACTCTTGCCTTTTGTCTTTCCTTCCTCTATTCTAGTGCTGTGAACATTTGCAGAAAGAGAACTCTCTATTTCCTTTCTCTCTAGACCCAGCCTGTGCTTTTCTGCAGGAGGAAGGTTGGAATATACCAGCAGGAATCATGAGTTATGTCAACTATTGCGGTTTGGTTGCCGTTTATATCATAGCCAAAACAAACAAACAGATAGGTACAGCCTGGATGAAGCATAATGAATAGAATATTAGACCAACAATTGGCCTGTTTTTAGCTGGCCTGTATTTCTCCTCATTAGATGAGGAGAAACAGTAGAAGTGCAATACAGTGACTCCAGCAAACAGACTAGCAGGACAGAAATGTGGGCTGTTGTACCCTAAGCAATCTATAACTCCATTAAGACTTCACATAGACAAACCGAGGAAACCATTTCAACAGGACTTTTGATTTTACTTCAACCCATACTGCTTTCCCTTTTTATAAACTTTGTGATTCAAAGGATTGAAGGAAGTCTTGTTGGCAAATTCAGCTAAGGAGCACAGCAGTAGATTGAGGGAAGACATTGGTAAAGCAGAGCAAGCTCAACAGAGGTCCCCAGATGAGGTCCACTTAGGGTATGTTACAAGTAGCTGGCATTAATTTACTTTTGATACCTGACATAATCCCATTTATGATGTGCTGTTTGTGTACAAGCAGCAGGGAAACAAGCCTGTAATTTCAAGTTGAAACCATCAGAAATATGAACATTTATGAGACCAGGGCTCTCTGCTGAAGGATTTATCAGAAAACCTGCTGTGAATTTGCTGCCTCACCTTGTAACACGTTACAGTCTGCTTAATTAATTTGTTACAAGCAGTAAATAAATAAAATTGGGATGGTGTGGGCAAAGAAATACGCAGATTCACCAGTCTGGTTCCAAAGGTAACGCTGGGCCTGCACATACAGTGCATACAGATAATTTATAATAAGGGCGGTAGCAAAAATTATCTGGGAAATTGAAACTTTACCACTGATATATGATCATTCGGTAAAGATCAGGTAGTCATAAAAATATTGCATAAGAAATCAGACATAAGATGGGTCAGACTGACCTTGGGAGCCTCACCCTTTTACAGGTGCAGAGTATAAATTCTGATGCTCTGCTTTATTGGCATTCCTTGACAAGATGGGTGTCAACAAGAACCTGCTGTGGTTATTCCTCTTAAATACAGCATTCCTGGCTGCCACCACAGGTAAAACACTTAAAATCTTTAAAGAACATTCTTCCAAAAAAGGTAGGAAAAAGGGGATGTCTTACTCCTCTACACTGGTTCCATACATGTAACTCACGTGCTAGTACCATCAACTTTGTGCAAAGATTAGAGGACAGACTGAAATTAGATAGCATCATGTGGTCTTATTAAAAATATGAAGCAATTGATGTTGTGATTAACTATTATTCATGTTGAAGTAAAAATTTATTGTAATGAAATTAATATTGCTCTCACTGTTTTGCAGTAGTGTCTTGTAGCATAGTTTAAACCAAATAATTAAAAAGTACTACCATGAAAATACTACTGAAAGACTTTGTCCCTATAAATCTGTGGGTTTCAGTATGGAATTAAGAGGGAATATAATTTCTTTGGCTGCAATGCATATTTGCTTTAAAAGACTTCAAATTCAACCTTGCCGATGCACATGGAACCACCCAATACTTATTTAACTCTATATAATTCAATGGAAGCACAATAGTACGACACAGTTGCTATCCTGTACAGTATCACGAAGTCCCAGAGGTGTGCATTTTGCTCACAGTTGCACCTTTGAGACTTTCATGCATGTGGAATAAAAACCTGGAGACTGTAACAATCCAGTCTGCGCATTTACACATGCAAATCAGAAGAGTGTTGGGTTTTCTTAGAAACCAATATTTAGCATCACTGAGGACTTTCTGAATACTATCAATATTTTACAGGGATGAATTCTTGGATTTGCTATTCCCAGCAAACACCTCTTGAGTTGTATCATGCCTGCCAGCCTCTGGCTTTGCCTTGGCATAGTGACTTCCCTGCTTTAATTCAGGCACAAGCACTTGTAAGATCAAGGTGAAAAAAAAGGCATAATTAATCACTCATCTTTCAGAGAAGAGATCTGAAGTGTTATGCTCCTGCTAGGAATTTCTTCTGACTGGGACACCTGTCTGTTTCGCTGTTCTTTGCAGGTATAAATAAGGAAACAATATCCGTCATATCCCCAGTCATATGAAGGATATAGTGTGTGTTGCATATTTTGCCCACTGCTTTCAAAAAGACAGTACAAAGTGCTTGAATTATAACAATAGAAAACAGAGAAACAAAAACTGAGCCAAACTGGCCATGTAGTCGCCATCACGGAAACATGGTGGGATGACTCGCACAACTGGAGTGGTGCAATGGAGGGCTACAAGCTCTTTAGAAGGGACAGGCAAGGAAGGAGAGGTGGTGGGATAGCTCTATACGTCGGAGAGTGTTTTCATTGTATAGAGCTCAACGAAGGTAATGATAAGGTTGAGTGCTTATGGGTAAAGATCAGGGGGAAGGCTAACAAGGCAGATATCCTGGTGGGAGTCTGTTACAGACCACCCAACCAAGATGAAGAAACAGATGAAGTATTCTACAGGCAGCTGGCTGAAGTCTCACAGTCTCTAGCCCTTGTTCTCGTGGGAGACTTCAACTTACTAGATATCTGCTGGAAATACAACACAGCAGAGAGGAAACAGTCTCAGAGGTTCCTGGAGTGGAGGATAACTTCCTGACGCAGCTGGTAAGTGAGCCAACCAGGGGAGGTGCCCCGCTGGACCTGCTGTTCACGAACAGAGAGGGCCTGGTGGGTGATGGGGTGGTCGGAGGCTGTCTTGGGCTCAGCAACCATGAAATGATAGAGTTTTCAATTCTTGGAGAAGTAAGGAGGGGGGTGAGCAAAACCACTACCCTGGACTTCCCATGTGCCGAAAGACAAGCAGGCGGGGGAGAAGACCGGCCTGGCTGAACAGGGAGCTTTGGCTGGAACTCAGGGAAAAAAAAGGAGAGCCTACCACCTTTGGAAGAAGGGGCAGGTGACTCAGGAGGACTACAAGGATGTTGTGAGGTTATGCAGAGAGAAAATTAGGAAGGCAAAGGCCCAGCTAGAACTTAAACTGGCCACTGCAGTGAAGGATAACAAAAAATGTTTTTACAAATACATCAGCGACAAAAGGAAGGCCAGGGAGAATCTCCATCCTTTGTTGGATGCAGAAGGAAACATTGTCACAAAGGAGGAGAAGAAGGCTGAGGTACTTAATGTTTTCTTTGCCTCAGTCTTTAATAGTCAGACTGGTCATCCTCAGGGCATTCAGGCCCCTGAGCTGGGAGATGGAGATAGGATGCAGAAGGATGCCCTATTTTGTGTATGCTACTCAAAATAAAAGAGGCTTGAGAAATACACAACACTTCTAAAATTCTGAATCAGACCATGAACCATGGCTAAACTTTATTTTTATGTTAAAATCACGAATAAATTTTTCCTATTAGATATGAAATGAATGCCTTATGCAAGTTTTCTTTATACTCGTTTTACATGTTTTTCAATACACATTTAAGTTTACAAAAAAAAAACCAATTGCAGATAAGCATCATGTGTTCAACAATGAAAAATACAGTGGGTATTTCAAATTAGAAGCTCAGATTTAAGGAAGTACCACAAATATTCTACGTTACTCCCACGCAGTCACATCTTTCTGTAAACTTTGACTGTTTATTTTTATTATGATGACAATAAGTCTGTGCAATGCTTCGTTTATTTAGCTCCCAGCATCTTCTGTCGACTATTGCTAGCAAATACACACTAAGAATTACCACAGAAAATTCAAATATTAGTCAAAAATCCAAACTATTCTGTTTAGTCTGACAGAATACTAACCTAAACATGCATGTATGAAGTATCAGTTTGCTATATGGTAGATTTGCCCTCCGTTGTCTCTGTTTACAGTCTTTTATTAATTGAAAAGATAATTTTGGGAGGCTACCAAGCCCTTGTGGAATATGCACTACTAATTACCTCTCATTTCCCAGAGACCTTGTGCCACAGTTTTACCATACAAGAGCACAATACACTGCAATGCTTGTATGATGCTTTGTGAGATGTTCTCTCACGCAGATTGACCTTATGGTGCGGCACTGCCCTCCCCTCTGTCTTTTGAATATATTAGCCACATTAAATTGAGTTTGACAGAAGGGAGCTGCCTTAAACTTTAATTAAATGTTTAAACATTACACATACGTTCTACTTAGGTCTACTGCAGAGGCTGGGGAATCGCCATGCTTGGAGCTTTTCAAGACTTGCTGTGGCTACACAAAGTCACAGCTGACTTGACCTAGTGCTGGAAATAATAGTCTTGCATTTATCTGGCAAATCACACAGCAAAGAACAATATGTATGTCACCAAAGCAAAGAGGAAAAAAAATGCAAAAGACCATTTCTGACAGTCAGGTCAACTTGTTCCCCCCCAATATATATGTATTTACATATATTTTTCCATAGCCAAATTTATTACTGTCACACTTATGCATGCATACAATACATAGGTTCTGTCCCTTGACTTTCATAATCCTAAAAGTGGTAAGACAGGGGAGTATGGCAAATATTAATAGCAAAGTTTTATCCTTAGCAGATGAATAAAAAAGTTTTTAAAAGTGACTACTAATGTGTCCTAGAGGAAGGGATGCCTCTATATCCTCAGTGGATGCATATCAGTGGGCAAAATATGCACCACACCCTTTGCTTAAAACTCCTTTTTCAACAAATCTCCACCACACCTCTGTTGTCTATCTTGTCCAAAGCTGTGAGTCTCAGTCTGCTGTTGTACTAGTCACCATGTGGAACGAGTATGTCTCCTTAGAAACAAGTTCCTCACCATTGTTTTGTTTTTCATTCGTAAAACAGTTGCCTCAAATAAAATTTATGGATCTGGGAAAGATAATCTTCATAGTTTTATTAAGATAAAAGCAGGTCACTGCTCTGCCAGTCATGCCCTTGGGGCTATAGGCCATGTGGCACGCAAACCTGCAGAGACCAAAGCTCCAAGGTGAATTGTACAACATCCCAGAAGACGCATCTCTCTAGGGAAAATATACTTCATCTGAATTTGTTTATATCACTTGCACTGTCCAATCTAGTCATTCACTAAAAGCAACCATTTACGACAAGAATCACAAACCACAGAATCATAGGATCCTAGAATGGTTTGGGTTGGAAGGGACTTTTAAAGGTCATCTAGTTAAACCCTCCTGAAATGACCAGAGATATATTCAAATAGAAGATGGCTCAGAGACCTCTCCAAACTAACCCTGAATGTTTCCTGGGATAGGACATCTACCACCTCTCTGGGAAACCAAGAAATTAACACTTGTTTCCCTGAAGAGACAAAGTTTTGGAGACGTGTTATAAGATTGTGATACTGGTTGCTGAGACCCCCGAGCTCTCCAGTGCCCACGTGACAGCGTGGCACCAACAGCCCCAGTGCCTGGAGAAGAAAACCTGGTCGTGCCCCTTCATCCACAGGGTCCTCACTGCCTTCTTTCTCTTCCTCCCCTAACAGATGCCACCACCACCACCGAAGCCAGCTTCACGGCATCCGTTCCTCCAGGTGGGTCTGAATTTCTCATGCTGTTTTTGGGCAATGCCTTTGGCGGGAGCAGGTAGTGGCTCCCAGGATGGGGTCTGGTCTTCTCCATGGGCGAGCAGAGCCAGGGAAACACACAGCCTACCTCAGCAGAGGGTGACAGTCCTGCTGGCCTGAAACTCGCAGAGCATTGCCCATGCCCCGGCGAGAGAAGGTGCCTGCATGCCAGAGGGTTTTCCCTCTCTCCTCCTTTCCAAAGTGCCTCCCTGAGCCTGGTGAATGGCAGTAACCGGTGCGAGGGGCGCGTGGAGATTTACCAGTACGGGAGCCAGGGCACTGTCTGTGATGACAGCTGGGACCTGAGCGATGCCGAGGTCGTGTGCAGGCAGCTGGGATGCGGCTTTGCTGTTTCTGCACCATCAAGTGCCTACTTTGGGCAAGGCACTGGCAACATCTACCTGGACGATGTGCACTGCACAGGGAGGGAGTCCTCCCTCTTTCAGTGCAGCCACCGTGGCTGGGG